CATGTATGTATGTATGTATGTATGTATATATGTGTGTGCCATCATCTACCAACGTACCCAAAAAGGGAAATATGGAGAAAAGAATGAGCAGCAGTTGGAAAAACTCATCAAATGGCTGGTTACTAGTGCGCTGATATGCACATATATATGTATGTAGTAAGAGTATGTTTAAATTTAGTACCAAGAACTTAAATGTACCTACATATGTACGTTAGGGTGCATCGCCTACATACAAAAAACAACTGTTACTTTTTTCCATCGGAGTTATAAAATTGATTATATTTTAAGACCTCCGCCAAAATATTTCGGAAAAATATAGAGATTTACTTACATACGCGAGCTGGGCCGAATTGAAAATGCATACTTCCGACGACCATCGAGCTTTTTATACATAAATAAAATTATTATAAAAAAAAAAATTTATTCTCAAAAAAATCGCCTCAGACGATAGAAGAGTTTACAGCCTTATTCTGTATCACGAACGATAGGCAACACGAACTATTCGTCTGCAGAGGAATGCTTCAAAAATTAGTCCGGGGGCATCATTTTAGTCGGTTTAAACACAACCGAGACCATTGCAACGTAATGTATGAAAAGCAAGACGAAGACGACCGATAGTTTAAAATCGCAATCAGAGAGGTTGTCGTCTGCAGACGAATCGTTCGTTTTGCCTATCGTTCGTGATACAGAATAAGGCCCTTAAGCTTAAAAGGTCTGCACAAAAATGTTTAACAATTTTATCAAAGGAATCAAAAGAATGAGCTCACGTAAATATTAATATTTTTTCCCCGATATATTTTGATGGGAGTTTTAAAATATAAAAAAAATTTATAATTATGTTGGAAAACCGCAACTTTTTTTTGGCGAGGCACCCTAATGTACATTCATCTATTTATAAATATTCATTATTTAAGTATCATAAAAAATGCACGGGAGCTATTTCCGTTTGAGTTAAACAACAGTAAAAAGTAATTACTCTTTAATAATTACAAATAGATTAAAATGCTGAATCCATTGAAGAAAAACGTTAGTTAAATAAAAAGCAATTTAAAATTAAATTCCTGTGGGAAATGAATGGAAAGACCACGAGGTTTTAGATTTATGTTGCAAGACAGCTCATATGTACATATAGAACCAACCGCAAATTATCGAATATGAAGGGACCGGACCTTGAGGGAATTGGCCAAGACAAAGGGAGTACTTTAGGTTCTGAGTCACAGAGAAATTCCGATGACCCGTGCCGCAGGCATAATATCTAAGGTAACCGACAGCGTTACCAGGTTGACGTTTTTAACGTCATTTGGACGTTTTTTGTGTGTAAAAAATGACGTTTCTTAACTTCCCAGTAATTTTTCTCTGTTACTAAATCTTATCAGTAGAACTGATTTTGGTTATTTTCTTAATAAATCTTTACAAGCTTTGTTTTTTGCAGCAGCTGCTTAAAAAAATACTTAACCCTTATTTAGGCGCATAAAGAAAATGACACAATTAGTCGCATTATTGAAAACGTAATGAACGCAAAAAGGCCGAAATATTGCTATGTTCCTTCTTAGCAGAACGTAATTTAGCATTTTCTACAACCGACCACTTAACCAAGTGTCTACAAGAAAAAAAATATTAAAACTTAACACGATTCTTTAGCACCTTAAAACTTGCGCATTATTCCCTGGAATTTAATGGGCTATCAAACTACATACTCAAAAAAGTTCAAAAAGATCGAAAATCTAGCTGGAGTTTTGCAGATTTTTTATAATTTTTGCACAAAGTTTGAAATGTGGATTTATATTTTGTTTGTTATATAATGAGAGCTAGACTTTTATGGAAAAATAATAAACATTAAATAAACAAAAGAGAAACAGCCAAAATCGATCAAAATGTTGATGACTTAATCAGCTGATCACAAGTGTATGTATAAAACATGATAAAAACATTACAAGGTAAATTCATTCTCTCAATTCGTCGGCCATGATTTTTTTCTGACGTTTGCCAACATTTTAAAATCATATAAAATTGAAAATAAAAATAAATTAATTTGTTCACAATTGTTGTTTGGGATTGAAAATGAGAATGTGTGTGTGAGTTTGAGTTTTGATTTTAAAATTATATTGTCCCGAAAACTTTGACTTTTGTAGGTTTGATGTCAATTTGGCTTCTACCTGTGTTTATTGTACCATGATCTCAAACCAGTTTAGAAAGAATTTTAAATGTGACAGAGCAAATGACATTTTAATATACCTTACGTACATACATACGTACCTTTGTATACAATAAAAGCTTAATAAGAACAATTCTTTGTGCATACATTTGAAAGACGTTTTTGGGTAGGAAATGACGGTTTTTTCAGACCAAGAGGGACGTTTTCTCATGCCGAATTCCTGACAACACTGGGAACCGAGCATTTCTTGATTACCTCTAACCAGAGATTAGAAATCACACTATTTAATTTAATTTGAAGAGTGTTCCATCTAAATTCAAACCTAAAATACAATTAAGCTCCTTTTTGGGCTTTTCAAAAAATCCACTTCGTTAAGGCAGTGTCACGCGATTGGGCATTTGCCCAAAATTTGGTTGGAAGTTCGCTGTATTGTACCAATCGTGTGACTACAAAAAATATTGTCTTCCCAAATTTTTTATTTTGTACCAATAGCCCAATAAAAAACTAGTGTTCGCCCAGCGGTTGAAATTCAATCTTTTAAATTAAGGGGAGGTGAGGTTGGCTGAGCTGAGCCGAGTTGAGTTTAGTTGAGTTAATTGAACTGAATTGAGGTGAAATGCGTTGAACAACATAACAGAATATAACATAACATAACACTACATAACACAACACATAATATAACTTAACATAACATAACACAACATAACTAACATAACATGTCATTCTTCTATTTTATTTTTCTTTTTCTCTGTCTTTGTCTCCGCCTTTATATATATTATTTCCTCTATCTTTTCAACCGACTTCACAAAACGGAGAAGGTTATCATGTTGTTACCGCATAACTTTGGGCCAAGTTAACCGATTTTTATAATTCTCTTTTTAAAGGAAAGGTGTTACCTCAAAGGTGGCCCCATTCTAATTTGTTTTAATACCGATCATTGGATCATGAAGAGATTAACACGATAATCTTACATTTTTATATGAGAATTGCAGTCGTTTTTTTTGCTTAAAAATTACTTGTTTAACTTTTAATTTGTATATTTATCATTTCCTTGAATTTTATCTAGATCTTTGTCTTCGTTATTTTCTTCATGTACATACATATTCACCCACATCTTTGCGATTATATTAAGTATTTAAATTTACCTTCCTCTTTGTCTATATGGTTCGGTTTCTTTTACTTTTTTATTTTCATCTTCGCTTTATTCCTTTCTCCTTCTACATACTCAACTTTACGTCCTTCTTTGTATGAGTCTTAATCTATTCATGTTCATACATAAATCTTATTCCTAAACTGCTGCTAAGCACGTTTCTTTAATTCAGTATCAATATTAAAGCATACATGTTAACATGGAACACGTTAACATTTGCTGATCGCCACTTTGAGTGA